TGTGGCTTTATTGAGTATTTTTTTGTCTTCTGGCGATTTAGTTTGTTGCCACCTTTTTCTAGCCTTTCTTTTTTCTGACAGCTTCCTTTCTAATGAAATATTAAAATTTGAGGGTTTGTCAAAGCTGCACTTAGGCGTGGAGTTCCATGATGACATTTGGATGACTTGAATTAGATGTTCAACAGCTACTGTAATTTCTTCGTCGGTTTTTAGGGAAAGCTTTTGATTTATAGTATTGCTGATTTGATAACGAAATAGGTGCCAGTTTGTTTTTTTATTGTGCAGTTTACACATTTGGTTTTGGTTTACATGTTGTGAATGTAGCACTAGAGACACTGGAGAGTGATCAGATGACAAGTCATAGCTAGTTACACATGTTTCTGAGTTTTCTGGAATGCCCTTGGAGACACAAAAATCTATGAGGTCTGGAGATTTATTTAGATCAGTGGGCCAGTAAGTAGGCGAATTGGGAGAAATAGTTCTTAAATTTAGGTCTTTTATAGCCCAAAAGAGTTGTCTTCCTTTTGGTGTTGTGAGGCGTGATCCCCAATGGACGTGTTTTGCGTTATAATCTCCGCAAGCTATAAACTTGTTTCCCAGAGTTTTGAAGTAACTAACGTATACATCTTTTTTTACGTTGTGCCTTGGAGGACTATAAAGTGATGAGACTGTAAGAGGCCCATGTATAGTTTGGACAATAATACTTGTCGCTTGTATTTCAGGTGTGCAGTAATGTCTTCCTTGGTGATGTTTTATTGTGTTTTTTATTAATATGCCTGAACCACCACGCGCCTTCCCAGATGGATGCATGACGTGATAGAAGTTATATTTTGGAATGGATAAATGGTTTTTATCAGTAAAATGTGTCTCAGATATAAGAAATATATCTATATTATTAGTTTGTAAGAAATTTGAAACTTCTAAAGTATGTTGTGATAATCCATTTGCATTCCAGAATATAACTTTTAAAATTTCCATTCTTTAGATGTGGGAAAGTTTTTCAGAGATACTCGTAAGAAGGTTTGACATTTGTTTCATTAGTATATTTAAACCACTCAGCATTTCATGTATTTCTGGAAGTTTATTAGTTGTTGTCTGTTGATTTTGTGGTTGTGTTCCGCTAGGTATTTGATTGTTTTGTATAGCGTTTCTAGCTACACTTGAATACTGGACGTTCTCCCTTCGCTCAGCTGAAGTGGAAGGATGCTGCGGCTCTAATTGCTCATTTATTGTTTTCCTTAGAGAAGGGTAATGGTGAGTATAAATTTGTTTGTAAACAGAGCAACCTTTGTAATTTGCAGGGTGGTTGCCATTACAGAGAGCACACTTAACTTCATTTGCCCAGTGTTTTTTAGGACAAGACCTACTTTCATGGGGTCCTGCACATTTTACACATATCGGTTTTTTTCGACAGTATGCCTTTGTATGACCATGTTGTTGACAATTAGTACATTGTGGAATAATTTTCTTAGGACGTGGTGGTTCAAATTTAATTATATTTGACATTAGTTTTGTTATTGAGTATATATCCTTATTGTTCGGCTTACTTACCAATACCAGTTCAAATAGAGGAAGAGGCTCTTTTTTGTAACGGCTTTTTATGTTCCATATATTAGTTACTTCATGGCCAAGGCGAGAAAGTTCATTTTTGAGGCATTGAGTGTCTATTGAGGGATGCATGTTTCGCATAATTACTTTAAAACCTCTTTCACACTTTGGTTTGTAGGTGTAAAACTCAGTATTCTTCTGTTCTAATTCGCTGACAATTCTTTTGTATGTTTCATGTGTTTTTGGTTGGATCTTGACCTGCTGCTTACGAAGAGTTTTGATCTCGTACTCATTTGGGACAGTCTCTGACAATAGTGCAATCAGAGGTTGAATATTTGAAACTTTGTCAACGAATATTGGCGGTGGTTTAAAAACCTTTTCAGGGGGGTTTGAAGATGGTAATGGTTCATTTTCACTATCAAGGACAGCAAATTGATTAGTATTTTTTGGGGTTTTACTTAACCAGTAGTTATTCCCAGTTGCTTGTTTTTTCTTATTTTTGCCACTTTGTGGGCTTTCTTGTTTTCTTTTCTTGTGTGTTATTTTTTGCCATTCATTGTCTGGCTTGGCATTCTTGTTTTCATCTTCAACGAAGTTCTGAGTTTGCTTTTCAAAGCGACCTACTTCTTCTTGAAGTTCATCTTCATCCGTTTGATAGGAGTCAGGTTTTTTGTTTAATTGTAGTTTCAAAAATTCTACATCTTTTTTGAGTTGACTGCAAAGTTTCTCATATTTCTCATTCCGTTCAGTAAGTTCGGCATTAGCTTTCTCCAATTGTTGCAATTTATTTAATCGGAAAGAGCCAATGCTGTTGCGTGGGGTTACTTCATAAGGTACTCGATCGGAAACAGGGTGACTCATGTCGATTTCGCTATAGAGGTGTTTATCTTAGACACACACCACATAAGCACGACATTACCGACCCAACACAAATTCCGTACTTTACTTTTGGAAGCAACTCTGTGTTGTAAGGTGTAAAAAAAATACAGCTCCACAACCACTATTTTGAAAGAAGCGACCAGCTGATGTTGTAAATTTGATAAACAAATATTCAGCTGACTCCAATATTATTTGTCTCTTTCAAATTAAATTTTGTTTGTTTTGCCAATAAAACAATTTATTGGAAATTTTAAAACTTTGATTTGCGAAACACTCACCGTCGACGATGACTAAACGTGGGTGAAATTGTGTTCCTGAGGAATTACTGCTCCAATACAACAACAATCCGCCAACTATAAATCGCTCTGAACGGTGAAAATTTGAAGGTTTGTTGCAGCAACGATTAACACGTCCGTCTGGTAAGCTACAACAGCAATAAGTGGTGAACTGCCGAATTTGGTTTTCTCTGATGAAAAAACATTCATTGCCCAGCAGTTGGTAATCAAACAAAAGAGGTCAGCTGAAAATGTGCATCTTCGGTTGGCCACCAGAACTCAAGATGGTGTGGGTCGCCATAACTGCCGATGGTCGCGAAAATATTCTGGAGGGTGTATTAAAGCCTAAAGCCTTGGGCACGCAAACATTTTGGCCGCAGACCTTGGACATTTCAACAGGACTCAGCACCATCGCACTCAGCACGCGCCACCCAAGAATGGTTACAAAATGAGGTTCCTCGCTTCATTTCAAGCGCACAATGGCCGCCAAAATCTCCGGATACCAATCTGTTGAACTATTGTGTCAGGAGTATTTTGGAAAGCAAGGTTGGCACTAAAAAATACCAAAGCCAGCGCCTCGCCGGGAATGGGTCAAAATACCGCAGAGCAACATTGACGGTGATCGATTCGAACAAATCCAAACTTATTTTAAAATTTGATGGTATTTCCGACATTTTTGCTTTCATTCGATAAAATTTAAAAAATGTAAAAATTATGGCTTTTGACTTTGTTGCGGTTTTTTTATTTCACCATGTATACCCTCTCTAGCCATATGACAGATTCCGCACCGGATTAGAGATTTTGTATGTAAACGTTCTTTAATTGCGGTTAATTTTAATTTTAGCCTGTGTAGGCGTTATTTTATTTTCCGGTGAGAAGCATCAAGAATCACAATTTAGAATTTTCTACAACATTCCAACGTCCATTTATCATGAACATATATGTATATTTTTTTGCACATACACACACATACAAACCAAAAAAAAGGTGTCCGTAATTATAAATACGAGTGAGTGAGAAAGGAAAGAACAATTAAAGACAATAAAGCTAAAACTGATACAGAAAGAACCAAGTATGGACGTACAGATACAAACACACAAACCACAGATTTCGTATTTATAAATACGAGTGAGTGAGAGAGGAACAAATAATGAATAGAAAATAAAACAATACAAAAATAAACTAAACATTGCAAAAAGTGACAAACAATAAGAGATGGAAATTAGGCCAAGTAAAAAAAACAGCTAAGTTCGAACCGGGGCGAACTTTTTTATACCCTCCACCCTTTGGAAGAAACATGAAAAATTTTTGAAAAAAAAATTCTGTCGAAAATTACCGCTCGAATGAAACCCCATAAGTAATTTATGTCATAGACTATAGTAACTGTTCCGAACTTTATATACGGAATTTGAAACAATTCCGGAGAAAAAACGCCGCAAAAGTCTGCAATACCGAATATCGGGGGTAGCGTTATATGGGCGCTATACTAAAACGTGGACCCATTTGGATAATTCTCTTCTAAAGGGTAAAGTACCCAGAAGTAACACCTTGTGTGGATTTTAAGACAATTCCATTTAAAACCTTGGCTGAAATCATAAAAATACCGAATATCTGGAGGTACCGTTATAAGGGTGCCATACCATATCGCGGACCTTTATAGACAATTTTCTTCTCGGAACTCTTTGTGTGAATTTTCAGACAATTCCGTTTAAAAAATGTGGCTAAAATCATCAAAATACCGAATATCGGGGGGTACCATTGTATGGGGGCTTAACGACATCGTGGACCGATTTGCCCATCTTCAAATTTGACCTGACTGCAGACAAAAGACAGATCTGTGCAAATTTTTAGCTTCCTATCTTTATTCGTTTTGACTGTAGCGTGATTACAACAGACGGACGAACGGACAGGTCTAAATCGTCTCAGAATTTTACCCTGATCAAGAATATATGCTTTGTTGGGTCTAAAATTATTATTTCGATGAGTTTCAAACGGAATGACAAACTTAATATACCCTCCATACTATGTATGGTGGAGGGTATAATATAAACTATTGCCAACAAAAACTGTTCAACATTTTTGCCTTGACCTCAAAACAGCTTTTTTCAGTAAGTTGTAGATACTAGATTATTCTTAATGAGAATGTTTTCCCCAAAAATATTTGCAAATTCTCAGTAACCAGAACCAAATAGTATTCGTTCTTTAAACTCACTTCGTAAAAGATTTTTGGTAATTTTAAATCAATATCAACCTCATAACCGCATTTTACTTATTACTCTCCCTCTGTCCTCTTTCCAGGTCTGTGCCATTCAGCATGTCGACGTGTGTATGTTTAACAATGGAAAATTCAAAAATGTCGTTGCTGATTCGGATACCCAATCACCACCACCCATAGATCGTACCGTACCACCTGGTAGCACACTGAACACCACAGTCACCCTCAAACCCCAGCGTGGACCCACCAAAAACTGGATAGCCTTGGAGGATACGTTACAAAGAAGCACTGAACCCGATGAAATCACCGGAGCCATAGCAGCCTCGGCTGTGCGCACACCACACTTTCTAATGCAGGCCAATCATTCGCCCAATTATTGCTCCAGTCCGGCCGTCTTTGTGCCACCTCTGCCCACATCAGCCACGAGTAGTTCAAATCCTGCCACTAACGATGAACGTAATGTCTTTGCCATCTATGTTTCCTATTATGTCAAGGTGAAGTTGACACTCTCCGGCATGGGTGGGGAGCTGTCACTGAAGCTGCCCTTTGTTCTGGTGCACATTGATGAGGAACAGCGGCATTTGAGTGAAATGCAAATGGAAAAGTTGGCCTTGGATGATGTGCCGGCTGGCAAGAAAAATGGTGGCAAGACAAAGCCTCCTCCTTCGCCCAACAAAATTGAGAACAGCCAAGAGTTTACCGTTAGCCACAGCCTGGATCGCATAGAGTCGGTAGATGATGAAAACATTCACATTAAGGTGTCACATGTCAACAGTGCCGGCAGCAATGCCAGTGCTCTAATGCCTTGTCCCGAAGATGAACAACCCTCCACGAGTGCGGCCAGCAATCGTAGACGCCAATTGATTCGTAGTGAAACCATTGCCAAAGATTTGGATGAAGATCCAATGACAGCAACGGCAGCGTCTGCAGCCGAAATGTCCGGCGAGCATGTGGTGCATGTTGCCCAAATCCATAGTGCCAATAATTTGCCAAAATTCGAAGAGACTGGCGCGGACAAGGATCACCTTGAAATGGAACACAAGAGTGTATCGGCTCAGGTTTCGCATGAGTTGAGCATTAATCAGATACAGGAATGCGTCGCATCAACTGAACCGAAAAGCGCCAGCAGCGGCAATGAAGCAGCGACGACAACAGCTTCCAATGGAGTGTGATTTCGATTATTACGTCAAATTTTTCAGAAAAAGAAAAATGGTTAAATGGCTTTAAATAGGCTAACAATGTGATGGCGGGGAGGAGGTGCAAAAGAGAGAGAAAAAGAGAGAGAAGGACAATTCTTAAGGAAATAATTGCAAATTATGTCCCCTGAGAGTCATTTTAGGATTTTTGGATTTAAAAAATAATCTCTTCCAGGATGAAGTTCAAATTGGCAAAGGAGATGCCGCCGGCTTCTAACAGTATTATAACTCTGTCGTATATACAGACATAAGTTCCAATGTCAGGATCTCAATTAGTTTCTACAAAATATTTCTACATCAATGCAAGACAACAACAACAAACATCATGGTTTCAATGTACCACTTGAAGCGTAAAAAACACATATCCAACATAACTCTGATAAGAGAAACGGCGAATTTATAAAAAAAAACATTGAAAATAAAGTAAGATACGCATATATCTAAGAGAAACTATTTAAAAGCTTTACACACAAAGGACAATATTCTGCACCTTTTTGTAACTTTTATTTAAAAAATCAAGTAAAAAAGCTGTAATTTCGGCCAGACCGGGTCTTAAACGATGACGTGGACCTGCATATGCAGCTTTTGCCATAAATTTGAAAAATACCGAATATCGGGAGGTGCTGTTATATGGGGGCTATACGAAGGCGTAAACATGCACGGACAATTTTCTGTCATGGGCTATAGTATCTATTACGAACTTCAAATATCAAATTTGAAGCAATTCCGGTGAAAAATGTCGCTAAATTCATCAAAGTACCTTATATCAGGAGGTACAGTTACATGGGGGCTATACGAAGACATGGACCTGCACAGACAATTTTCTGTCTTTGGCTGTAGTATCCACTACAAATTTCAAATACCAAATATGAAGCAATTCCGGTGAATAATGTCGCTAAAATCAACAAATACTGAATATCGGGAGGTGCCGATATATGAGAGCTATACCAAAACATGGACATGTACAGACAATTTTCTGGTTTAGACTGCAGTATCCATTACGAACTTCAAATACCACATTTGAAAAACCCCCGGTGAATAATATAGCTAAAATCATCAAAATACCGAATATAGGAAGGTACCATGGGGGCTATACCAAAACCTGGACCTGCACAGACAATTTTCGGTCCTAGGATGTTGTATCCATTACGAACTTCAAATACCAAATTTGAAACAATTCCGGTGAATAATGTCGGTTAAATCATCAAAGTACCGAATATCGGGAGGTACCGATATAGGGGAGCTATACGAAGAACCGAACCTGCAACGACAATTTTTTGTTATAGGCTATAGTATCCATTGCGAACTTTAAATACCAAATTTGAAACAATTCCGGTTAAAAATGTCGCCAAAATCATCAAAATACCGAATATCAAAAGGTACCCTTATGTAGAGGCTATACGAAGATGTGGACCTGCACAGACAATCTCCTGTCATAGTCTGTAGTATCCACTACGAACTTTAAATACGAAGTCTGAAACAATTCCAGTGAATAATGTCGTTGAAATCAACAAAATACCGAATATCGGAAGGTGCGTTATATGGGGACTATACGAAGACGTGGACCTGCGCATGCAATTTTCTGTTTGAGACTGTAGTATTCATTACGAACTTCAAATACCAAATTTGAAACAATTCCGGTGAATAATGCCGCTAAAATCAAAAAAGTACCGAATATCGGGAAGTACCGTTATATGGGGGCTATACCAAAACTTGGACCTACGTCAACCATTTTCAATACCAAAAATCCTGCAGACATAATATATATTTGAGTAACGTTTTATCAACCTACTTCGGAAGCTACAGTGAATTCCACAGATGGACAGACGGATAAATAGACAGACATACAGACGTCCCTCACATGCGTAATATGCACTCCAGAAAAATGATGTATACCGGACATCATATAATGCTCGAAAATACCTCTGTCAAATTTTATCGAGATCAGTTCAGATTAGGATATAGCTCCCATATACAGGGTGAGATAGAAAAACAGCAACAAAGTCGAACCTCAAATTTTAGAATATGTTTAGATTTGTTCGAATTGGTCAACTTTTGCACGAATTATGGCCTTCAAACGGCCAATGAAACCGTCGCACGCTGCTCGAATACTGCTCTGTGGTATTTTGGCCCATTCCCGGCGTAGCTTTTGCTTGAGGTGATCGACACTTTGGTATTTTTTCCAAAATACTCCAGACACAATAGTCCAACGGATTGGAATCCGGAGATTTTGGTGGCCATTGTGCGCCGGAAATGAAGCGAGGAACCTCATTTTGTAACCATTATTGGGTGGCCATCGTGCTGAGTGCGATGGTGCTGAGTCCTGTTGGAATGTCTAAGGTCTGCAGCCGAAATTCGGATTTAATACACCCTTCAGAATATTTTCGCGATAATATTCGGCATTTATTCTGATGTCGATTGATACGAGTGGAGAGCGACCATCGGCTGTTATGGCGGCCCACACCATCACCATGGCCGGCGCTTGAGTTCTGTTGGTCAATCTCTCCGAAGGTGCACATTTTCAGCTGACCTCTTTGGCAAGTAAACATGATCACCTTGTTTGTTTACAAACTGTCGTTGCTAGACAACGAATATTTTCTCATCGGAGAAAACCAAATTCGGCAGTTCACCACTTTCGGCCAAGCGAAGAAACTCTTTAGCTCTTTTGTATCTATTTTCTTTCTGTTGCGGTGTAAGTTCTTGCACTTTTTGCAATTCCAATGGCTTTACCCCGAGCTCATTTTTCAATATTTGCCGAATGGAATATTGCGATATGTTCAGTTCACGAGCCATTTTTCGGCCACTGCAACGCGGGTTTCGATCAAGTCGCTTCTTTACTTTTCGAACCATCTCTGCTGATGTTGCTGTTTTCTTCCGTCCACTTCCTTGACGTCGGGCTACGCTACCAGTATCACGGTAACGAGCGATGGTCCGAGACACAAAAGATTTATTCACATTTAAATGCCGGAATGCTCTAAAGGTAGCCACTTGTGGTTTTCCAGCCAAATATAAAGAAATCACACTATCACGCTTGAATTCTATCACGAATAACGTTTTTTTTTTTTCTGGATAATTCTCTCCAAAATGCTTTTGTACGCTTGTAAACAATATAATGAGCTGTCACTGGAATAAATTTAACAGCTGTCAGATGGGTGGGTTAGAAATGATAGCAGTCTGAACTTGGTTGCTGTTATGGCCGCCATAACAGCCGATGGTCGCTCTCTGCTCGTATTAATCGACCGTGGCATTAGAATAAATACCGAATATTATCGCGAAAATATTTTGGAGGGTGTATGAAAGCCTTGGCTGCAGACCTTGAATATTTCAACAGGACTCAGCACCATCGAACTCAGTACGCACCACCCAAGAATGGTTACAAAATGAGGTTCCTCGCTTCATTTTCAGTGCACAATGGCCACCAAAATCTCCGGATACCAATCCGTTGGACTATTGTGTCTGGAGTATTTTGGAAAGCAAGGTTGGCACTAAAAAATACCAAAGTATCGATCTCCTAAAGCAAGCGCTTCGCCGAGAATGGGCCAAAATACCGCAGAGCAACATTCGGGCAGGGTGTGACGGTTTCATTGGCTGTTTAAAGGCCATAATTCGTGCCAAAGGTGACCAATTCGAACAAATCTAAATTTATTGTGAAATCTGATGCTATTTCCCACATTTTTTGCTTTCATTCAATAAAATTTAAAAAAAATGTAGGAATTAGGGCCTTGTTGCAGTTTTTTTATCTTACCCTGTATATCAGCGTAAAATTCCGAGACGATTTAGCCCTGTCCGTCCGTCCGTCTGTCGTAATCACGCTAGACAAAAGGAGTTCCTTCTAAGTACTTTACCCCCTGGAAGAGTATTGTCTTTATAGGTCCACGACATCGTATATCCCGCATATAACGGTACCTCCCAATATTCGGAATTTTGATGACTTTAGCTACATTTTTAAATGGAATTGTCTGAAAATACATACTAGAAGTTCTTTCTAAGCACTTTACCCCCTGGAAGAGAAATGTCCATATAGGTCCACGTCCTTGTGTAGCCCTCATATAACGGTACCTCTCGATATTCGATATTTTGATGATTTTGGCGACATTATTCACTGGGATTGTTTCAAATTTGGAATTTGAATTTCATAATGGATACTTTAACCTAAGGCAGAAAATTATCTGTGCAAGTTCATGTCTTCGTATAGCCACCATATCATGCGGTACCTCCCGATATTCGGTAGTTTAATGATTTTAGCGACATTATTTACCGGAATTGTTTCAAATTTGGTATTTGAAGTTCGTAATTGTTGCTACAGCCTAAGACAAAAATTGATTGTGCAGGTCTACGTCTTCGTATAGACCCCATACAAAGGTACCTCCCGATATTCGGTAGTTTAATGTTTTTAGTGACATTATTCACCGGAATTATTTCAAATTTGGTATTTGAAGTTCGTAATGGGTATTACAGCCTATGACAGAAAATTGTCTGTGCAGGTTCATCCCATCATATAGCCCTAACATAACGATACCTCCCGAAATTCGGTATTTTGAAGATTTTAGCGGCATTATTCACGGGAATTGTTTCAAATTTGGTGTTTCAATTTCATAATGGATACAACAGCCTAAGACAGAAAATTCTCTATGCAGGTCCACGTTTTCGTATAGCCCCCACATAATGGTACCTCCCGATATTCGGTATTTTGATTATTTTAGCGACAGTATTAACCAGAATTGTTTCAAATTCGGTACTTGAAATTCGTTATGGATACTACAGCCTATGACAGAAAATTGTCTGTGCAGGTCCACGTGTTGGTATAGCCCCCATGTAACGGTACCTCCCGATATTCGGTATTTTGATGATTTTAGCGACAGTGACAAAAGTTGACTATGCAGGTCCACGTAGTCGTATAGACCCTATTATAACGGTTACATTCGGTATTTTTAAGATTTTTAGAGAATTTTTAACGGATTTTATTTTAATTTTTTTTTTTTGAAAATTGCCAAAATTTGTTCCGAATGGTGGAGGGTATTCAAATTTCACAACGGCGTAACTTACAGCTTTTAACTTCATCGGACTTCATT